AAAGAACTTTCAGAAGTTTGAATTCTGAATATGAGCAACTTTTCCTTTAATAAGAATAATCATAAAACTATTAATGATGATGATGATGATCAATAGAAATCAAATTAACTTCATTTTTTAATGTGTTTTATTCAAAGCCATTCATGGAGGCAGTGCTGCCATCTTGTTGTGTTCTCTTCCATCTCTCAAACCCGTAATTGACGCTCTTCCTGGTTCTCCTGTTGTTCTGGATAGAATAACTGATATCTCTTAATTTTACCGGCTTCCTTGGTAGAATATTTTTAGCCAGTTTTCACTTTAAACTGAAATCGGATCGTCTGAAATCCAAAATGAAACCATCCTCTCTGTGACTAAGCGGGTATTACGGAAGAGAATTAGTGCCACAAAAAAGTTGACTGATTATTCTATTTTAACATAGAAAAAAAAAGTCAGAATTCTAACTTTTTTCTCATATTAAACTTACGGTAATAAACTGAAAATAAAAAGATCTGTAAACTTTTTCTTTTTTTTTCCAGTGCCCCCATTCCTAAAAAAAAAAAGAAAACAAAGTCAAAATACAGACTTTTTTCTCATATTAAACTCAAATAAAAAAAAATGAAAAAAATATCAGTTATCTTTTCTGTTTTTTTTTTCTGTTTTTTTTTTTCCCCCAGTGGCCCCATTCCTAAAATAAAAGAAATAAAAAAAGTCAGAATTCTGTCCTTTTTTTCCTCATATTAATCTAAAAAAATAATAAAAATCAATTAGTTAACTTTTCAGTGTTTTTTTTTTGTTGTTGTTGTTTTTTGTACTGGCCCCATTAAAAAACAAAAAAAAAAGTCAGAATTCTGACTTTTTATGAATTAAGTTTTTTCAGGGGCCCTAATCCTGTTCTTTGGTTTGATCTGATCTTGATTTATTTCTGATTATAACTTTTTAATGGTTGAACTCTGTTTTGTCGTGCGGTTTTTTGTCCTGCAGCTTTTAGATGAGTCCCTATATAACAGAGCCATGGCTGAACATTGTCTGAGTTTTCTTCCATAAAAAATTAAGTTTTTAGTAAAAACCTCCTGATTCAACAGAGTAAAAAGCCATGAGAAAGGTTGTGGCACTTTCTAAGAGATGTATAGCCCAGAAGCTTCCGTATAAAGATGATGGTCTGAGATACTTTGCTGCTTTAGCACCTGAAGGACTCGCTGTAATCCATCCAACCATGATTAGATTTCTATCTAGAGAATTTAACATTACTGATGTGAGCTTGTTTGAATCACTTGTGTTGAGATGGTTGATAAACTGTAGATTTTTGTCAAAGTTCCTTTGGTCAAACCGACTCTGAGCAAAGCTAATGCTTTAACACTTTAACACTGAATGATATATTACCCACTGTAAATTAAGTTTTAAAAAAAACGTTATCAAGAAAAAAAGGTAAAAAGCTAAAAGTTAAAAAGATAATAAACCTATTTAACATTTATAGTTAGGTTTATAAACTAAAAAAAGTAAGTGCCAGTATCGGCATTAATGCCTCTAAGGTTATTTTGGACCAAATCAATGTGTTCCTTTCACTTTCAGATTGTTTTCATGAATTTCTTAT